TGTTCTGTAGCGTTCACGATAGTTGTTAATCCAGAAAAGGTATAGCCGAAGTCGATCTGATTGCGACATCTCCCAGATGTTGTCAACGGCCATTGCTTCATCCGTGGTCATCATTTCTTTTTGTTTTAGATACTGTTGTAGATGAGTTATATCTTTGGGGATTCTAATTACAGCCCTCTTGTTTTTGTTCCTTCTTTTCTCCTTTGGTGACCCGTTTTTGACCGTTTTGTCTTCTTTTCTGTCTTTTGGTTTCTGCCAGGGAAATAACTGATCTTCGCTGCTGCTGGCTACAGGTATCTCTCCGTCATCTTCTTCCGTTGGCCCTCTCTGATCATGTGCCAGATCGAATAAATCTGCTGTTCGTGTTGATATGGGTAGCAATAGCTCTTTTTCGCCTTCTAAGAGTCTTTGATCTTGAATTATGTCTGCGTCCCGTTCCACATCGATGGTCTTCTGATCCAGTCTCTCACCCATGTCATCAACATTCCCACAAATGTTTGCGTTTTCGGTGTGTGGGCATTCAGTTCCCTGAGCGATATCAGTGTCCGATATCTCTCCTCTTTCCGACGCTGAGCAGTCCTGTTTACTTTCTAGAACAAGGCTGGAAGCATTTATTGGGGGCGGTGTCTCCAGTGAGTGATTTGTTTTTCTAGTTGAAATACTTTTTGGCAAGGCGTACTCACTCCCTGTCGGCTCCGAGGCGGCAAATTTTGATTCAAGGCGTTTTTCATTTGTTTCTTTGGATACATCCATGGCAGTACATTGATCAAGTGAAGCATCTTTTAGTGAGTTGGGATTGCTGTCTTCATTGACATGATCCTGTGGTGCAAACAACCAAGACACCTCATACAGCGTTTCATTGTCTGTATTCCTGGCATTTTTTTCAAAGGCTGATCCATTAAAACTGACGTTACGAGAACCTAATTGTTTGTTATTACACAACCACAGTTTGAAGGTGTTCTGCGGGATCCGGCATTCGTGTGCCACGTTAGGTGGGTACATGGCTTTGTACAGCTGCTGTGCATGCGTTGGCTTCAGCAGTTCTTCCAAGTCGTCGAACTCCAAGAGCTGAAAGTCGGCCTTTTTAAGACACTTCTTCCAATGTTTAATTTCTCTGACATTTTTCTTCATCATGGCCTCGATTGTGTTTCGTCTTCCACGGTCTCTGTATCGGTGAGTAAACTTCTTCAGATTGCAAGCGTCTAGTTTCTCGCTTTTGCTTCTTCCTCCAACCCGTATTATTTTTTGACTCGGTAGAAAATTCAGAACCTTTTCTAAAAACTGGTCTAGTGCATGGTTTGTGTAGCAGACCATCAGCATCAGCGAGATGTGACGAGGATCCCGAGCGCGTCGATTTTCAAGTAAACATCGTACAATCTTAGCTCCAACATAAGTCTTCCCAGTTCCTGGAGGACCCTGTATCACAGAGAACTCAGTTGTAATTGCTGTTCTCAAAGCTTCAAGCTGGGAACTGTTCATGGAAAGCCTTTTGGCTGAGGGCCAGGCTGCAGGTTGAAGAACAGGCACTGATGTGGCCTTTGATACCGCAGGAGCCTTACTAAGATTATAGCATACCGGCTTTTCTGTATCACTGCGTCTTAAATACTCTGGTGGGTCAACTTCAGCACTGCATTCAACGAGATATTTTTTAAACGGCAAGTTTGATTCATCTAATTCTTTCAACCCTTTAAGGACGTAACGGTAGGCTTCAAAGTAGGCAGGTGACTCGACCATTTGGTAAACGCAATTGCTGTTCTCTACACCCAAGACCTGTTGCTCTTCGATAAACTGAACGTCTATTCGTCCTCTCGTCACTTTCTCTGGATCACGGTCACAAACTGTCGCGAATAACATCGTTTTGAAGTTGTCGGTCGAAAGACAAAGGAATGAACCATACATGAGTCGTTTGGAATGTGCCCACCTGCTGGTGTCTATTCCTGAAACATCGATTTTCAGTTGATGAATGACCCCAGCCCACGTGTACTCCTTGCCAATGATCCGTACCCCGCGATAGTTTTTCATCAATTGTTTTCGCTCTTGTCTTGGTATGTTTCGGACGATTTCTTGAATGCCTTCCCTTAGTGGTTCAAGAAAGTCTTCCCGAAGCAGTCGAAACTGCACATCAAGATAGTGCTCGGTGTTCTCGTACCGTCCTCTTAAAATGTTCTTACGTAAGAAAGGTCTTTCTTGAGTTGTGATTTCTTTGATCGTGGGACAAATAGGTATGTCTCTGTAATCATTTGGGGGTTTTTCTCCCACTCTATACCGTTGTCCGCGTTTCTGTCTTTCAGCTCTGATTATTTCATCTCTTGCGTGCTTAAAAGCATCCAACTCCTTTTGTACCTTTTCTTTTTCTTCTATTGCTAAATGATCTAACGTTGCTTTCAACTGAGCGTAAGGTAGGTCGGCATATGAACTGGGCAAGTGCGTTAGGAACTTCATAAAGATAATGATGAGACATTGAGTGAGCCTTTGTCTAGAAGCTTGGTCATTCAAGGCCGTTGACGCCGCAACGCGATCAAGCAAGCAGGGAATCTTTGAGAATAAGAATACAGAACCTTTAAGTGCAGCTAATACCTTATTAGTATTTTTGCCTGGTGGCGCTTTACATGCCTTAGCTAAAGTGCAAATGAGGTTGAAAATGAATTCATCGCTGTTGTGCTGCTCCTCTTGTGATCGAAGATAGAACTTCAGCAGAGGCATACCCTCAGTCAGCTTGTGGACCACTTCTGTACCTTCCTTCTCTTTCAAGATTTTGGGATCGAGGGAGGAATATTTTTTCCTTGCTGTTACTCCTTTATTTTTGTTCAGAACACCAGATCTACCAGATTCTTCATTTTGGCTTGTTGCATCTGCATCAACAGAAAAACGCATTTATGTATAATTTTGTTTTTCACTTTTACGGATAAAAACCATTAACACAAATAGGAGAACAGATTTTATGTTAAATGTTTAACCTTAGTTTAATATGGACTTGCCCTTCTGGGAGAGAAAGCGTGACACCTCTAGGCACTGCTCTAAAAGTACCTTCTTAACAACGTTATATTCCTTCACTTTCTTACCTAGTGCGCACTGTGACGTGAATCACCTTTTTTGACGCGATCACAATCGTAAAAAGGTATAACACATAACGTATATGTGTGAAGTCAAGATGGCTGCATATTGGACAAGTTCGTTTTGTGTTTTTATGGACCCAGACTAGTATTGCTGTATGAAGACGTAGTCAATCTTGCACTTGCAGTGATCTTGGAGAAGACATTTTTTTAGGATAATAATGTGATGGTCAAGAATCCAATTCCAAATTATCAAGGAAGACTGTGAATGGCCTTTCCCGGCGTTTCGGCTGTCACTGTCATCTTCAAGAGTACAGTGCTACTTTGGTTTCAGTGTCAATGGTTCCATTTTAAAATATAACCTACGTAAATGATTACGATCGTGATTGCGACACGCGATCGACACGTGCCCCTAAAACATAGAGAAACGTAGCATACTGTAACAACACCGAAGGAATAACGGAAACTAAAATCCATAATGGAAAAAAAGAATCAAAATGAAATTAGATGAAAAGACAAAACAGTATAGGAATACAGTCTGTCTGGAAATAAAACAAAAAATCTTGAATTTGAAATATTTTCAAACATTATCATGGCCTAACACGGAAATGGTGAATTTCTTTTGTTTCTTGAATTGTGGCTGTGTATCAGAGTCGACTGATTTTGTTTTTAATTAACTGTCTACATTAACTTTAGCCTGTTCACAGACCCTCTATTTTCTATTTTTTTCGGGTGATGAAATATAAACCGCAGGGGAGTTATTGACCGCCAGCGCAAGGGGGTAGTGGTGGGGCAAGAAGAAACATGGACTCGCAGATGTTTTCGAAAAGAACGGAAAGAAATAAAAACAACGTCTGTGTACGGGCTACCTTAACTTGTGTGTTGATAATTCCCTACCATTTACTTGTTTTTTAATTGGTGTGTTGTCAGCAGTCTCGCCAGTTCTTCTTTGTTGACTTCTTACTGACGTTCCATTTTCTCTTTTTCCCGTCTGTCCTCCAGCACCTGATTAAGTTGGAGAAAAAGTATCCAATAGTTTACCAGGTACATCAATGTAAATTAGCTGAAGGTCTTTGTTGAGTGCAGTGGATCCAGATCGGATCATGACAAGCTACTGGACGCCCACGCCATATCAGCTTATCCGGGCGTGACTAACGATCCTGTGAAGTACAAAACTGCAAACTCTCTAAAGTTTGATTTTTTTTTCTGCTACTTTGTTGGTTACTCTTCCTTAGTAGTATTTGAGACATTTTCTTAAGGGATTCAATCAGGAGCCTATCACCCTCCTGATTCAATTTATGAGGACTTAGGTTGGGTAGTAGTGTTGCACGACGCTTTAAGTTACCTTACACAACACTCTCTTTAGTTTGGCTAGTTCAACGAGAGGCGTAATTATGTGGTGTATTCACTGTGTATCGTTCTTCAACTTTCTGACGCGAGTACTGATAACCTTCATAAAGGCAAGTACT